CAGACATGACAAGCCCTGCCACATCCTGATTAGAAAGAACTGCAGGGACTTCTACAGGACAAATAACGTAAGAGGTGGCTTCTCCTCACTGAAGCGGCTAACGTGGATGCCAACTTGGAGTAGCAGAGGCCATTTGGCCTGGCACAAAGAGGGGCCTAAATACGGAATGAAGCCGAATAGGAGATGAGATGCGAAGAGCCATTCTGATGTCACTTAAGCAGCTGGATCCCACCAATGGCTGAAGCTCCACAAGTCCCACTCAGCCCACTCATCGAAGCCACTGACCTCCCTCTGTGGTTTAAATCCATTTCAGTTGGCCTTCCAGCTCTTAGAAATAAGATCCCTGGCCGACTGGGCCATCTGGGTACAGGCTGGCCTTTCCCACATGGGCTCTGTTTACTTCCAATAGCTGACAGTGAGGGAAAAAAAACCCAGTGCAGTGCTGTCTGAAGAAACTGAGGAAATCCTGCCTCTTTACAGATCCACAGTGCACAAAGACTTGGAAAAACTGCAATAAAGCAACTACATTCCTTTCCCTTAGGAAGTTTCTAAAATTTCCTCTTACAGAACTCCTCTTAAAGAGGAAAGACAGTGCTGAGGAAAAAAAGACTGCCTAAAGGACTAAGTGACACAGCCCCTCAGCCCCTCCAACGTTCCATACGGACAAACAACTTCCCTCTTCTACTGGGAAATGGTTTTCTGTTCATGGGCTCTGCCTTCCAATCTGTCACTATGGAAGTGCCACTGCCCAGGAGCAAGCCTACTGTGGACCAGGGGAAGCATGGAACTCTAGCAATGCTCCCTCGCCCCGTGTGCTCGCTGCCTCTTCACTGGATCACCATGTGGAAGCAAACATTTCACTTTCTCTCCCATTTAGAAGACAAGAAGCAAGGACCCTGTGGAGCCCACTTCCTCAGCAGCCCGACATTTCTCCGTTTGGAGGAGCACTCCTTCAAGAGTCATCTATATTTACATTTCATTTGCCAGACTTTGGCCAGCACTCCACCAGAACTGCCTGATTTCAATAACACACAATGACAGACCATAGCAATTCTCAGTCATCCTATGAGGCACATCGGCAGCATCTGACCCACCCACCACTCTCCTTGAGGCTGGCATCAGGCTGCCTGACCCCTCTAGGTCTCCTCCCACCCATGAGCCACTCCTTAGGTCTCTTTGGCTTGCTCCCCATCTCTCTCGCTTCTCCACACTGGAATAGCCTGTGGCTCCATAACATGAACTCTGTTCTCTAGTTACAGTCACTCCCTGCTGAGCTCAACCACTCCGCAGCCTTGAAATACCAGCCCAGATCTTGTATGACCTAGCCGCTCT